TAACATCTCAATTCATAGGCACTTATTTGGGGAAAAGAACCGTCTTTCTATTCAAACAGAGAAGTAGAAAGGAACCACCAGCTCACATATTCTTTCTTTGTGTTTACTTATTTCAAATATTTATAAACTACCTTTAAAGATCAGAATCTCTCCCTAAATATATAATTACAATACATAATTCATAAGCATTTTAAAAACATGGTCCTACAAACAACCTATACTGCATGAACCAAGAATAATATAAGTCAGTATTCAACCTGGTAAGAATATTATGAACCTAAAAATACACACAATTTTTTGGGTGGGTGGGTGGGGGAATAATTGATCTGGCATTCCAGGCAGCGTAAAGGAATATCCCAGAAACCTGTCCTTTGTTACTGTCCTTATTATCTGCTTAAAAAAGGCATCATTCATTCATTCATTCATTCATTCATTCATTCATTCATATCAGTGCATGCAAATTCCAGGATTACATTTTGGCTGTATCCCAACAGCATTCAGCTGCCTTGTGACCAAGGAGCTGTATGGAGACCTAGACAATGCAGATAAGGCCATTAATGCAGATGTGGATGAGAGGAGATTCATTTCCCCAAGGTACCATTATGCTCTATGGGACAAAGTAAATGAGCTGCAACTGATAAAACTGATGAAGGGGCATAATCTACTCCTTCCAAAAAAAAAAAAAAAAAAAATTGGAAGTCACAAAATGAGACTGAGAACACCTTGTAATTTTCTATTGTGCATCAAATGGTTGCAATCAACTTCTGAGGGCACAACACCACTTCGTTGTTTTGGTTTTCCAGGCTTCAGTAATCAGGAAACAGATTAGTTCAAGTTCTTCTGATAGGGTCCTCATTGTCTATGTGATTTGGGATGCCCTGCTGTGTCGCCCGTCTTTTCTTTCCTCCCACTCTAATGATGATTATTTTTTTGCCAACTCTAGGTTTGATTTGCAGGGAGGGTTGCTTTTGAGCCTCAGGGTCTATCTCAACCTTGGCAACTTTTATATGGGTGGACATCAACTCCCAGAATGCCACAGCCAGCAAGTTGTGAAACACTGGTTTGTATCACCTGAGGCTCCAAGTCTAAATGAACAGTGAGAACAATTAACTAGGGGGATGGCTTGCCGTCATGAACTGTGTGTGCTCTATCACAGGAGGTCCCAAAGGTGCTTTTTGAAGAAGTAACTGGAGTTTTGAAGAAGCTGAAGAAGCTTCTTGGATAAGAAGTGAAACATCTGCAAAGAAAAAACAGGAAAGTCCAATTGCCTCTTGGAAAAGCACCTTTGGGACAACCATGACTGGAATTCGCACTGTATATCTGACATAAATACAATTGAGCAAGTCCAGAAGCATTTTACCAGAAGAGTACTACATTCCTCTGTTCACAACAGAATACCCTACAGCACCAGGCTTGAGATTCTTGGCTTAGACAACCTTGAACTACGCCGACTAAGATTAGACTTAAGCATAGTACATAAAACCATATGTTACAACGTCTTACCAGTTAATGAATATTTCAGCTTTAACAACAACACTAGAGCACACAAAAGATATAAACTAAATGTAAACCACTCCAAACTCGATTGCAGGAAGTACGATTTCAGCAACAGAGTGGTCAATGTCTGGAACTCACTACCTGATTCTATTAACCTCACCCCATTCCCAAGAGGTCTGTAAGGGGCGTGCATAAGCGCACAATCGTGCCTACCGTCCCTGTCCTATTGTCCCCAATTATTAGTTCCTACTTCTTGTATTTAAACTTATGTTTATTCTTGTTTCTGTTATATTGTAAGCTTTTGACAAATAAAATAAATAAATGACCTGGATGACTGAGAATCTCGATAGACATCCATCTCTGGAAGCTTTTAAAAAGAGACTGGGCAGCCACTTTTTGGAATGGTATAACGTCTCCCGCATGACCAGTGGCTGTACTAGAAGACTTCCAACATTCCTTCCAACTCTGTTATTCTGGAGCTCCTGAATCATTCAAGGTTTCCAGAACACTTGCAACAATTGCCATGAAATATAATTATGTATATATCAGGCAGTAAAATTATTGCGCATCTGAACTATTAATTATACCTAATGTGTTTGATTTAAAATCAGGTGAAATCAAGTCAAATTTAATTTTTGTTCTGGCCCTCCAGATATCCTTAACTCAACCTGAAGGACACCGAATAAAGGCATACAGTAGCCTTCAGCCTAACAAAGTATTAGTCACACCTGACACAACAGAACAACAGAATCTAGGCAAGTGTTAATGATGGTTCACATTGCTCCTTGGTTGTTAGGCCCAAGAATGACACAAAGAGTTACTTCAGAGTAGTTTCTTTATTGTTGCTCACAAAAATCTTGCCGGATTAATTCTGCAAACTGCTGTGGGAGGAGCAGGGATTTTCCTTCAACCCTTTCTTGCATATAAAGATTCATTTTTTTTTTGGTCCCTTCATTTCCTGAGGAAAAGCTCCCTCCCTCCTATAACTCTGGGCTTGCATTCCACTACAATGGGTCAGATTAAATGGCTGCCACCTAACAAAGCTATGAATGAGATGGGAAGGGAATCTGTCCCATTCATTTCCAGAAGGATCACATTGAGAGATATCTCATGTTCTCTGTAGGATTCATTCAGTACAACAGTTGTGATGGAAGACAATCAATTCTCCCCTGTTCTGATCATGATCATTTTGCCATTACTGATATTTCCAAGCATCAAAACTATTTTTAATGACTTGGACATGTTTTGTCTTAATCTAGTGGTAACTATATCCTTTAATTATTAGCAGTATTTTTACAATTTAATTCAAGATTTAGATAAAGAGCTTTGGCTAGTTAAGTTAACAGAGTCAAAAACTGCTATCAACTTGTAGCTTGACAGAGAATCTACTGAGTTATTAAATGGATTTCTGTGGATGAACTCTGGAGCAGTCTGCTCAGCAATGCATGAAGAAAAGAGTTGGAGGTGTAAAAAATGTCAAATAGCTTTCTCATATGCATTAAACTGTTAATAAAGACAAAATGATCTTTATGTTTTGGGTTTTTAATGTCTCTTTTATGAAAGTAACCAGCAGCTTTGATTCACGATTCGTTGGTTTCCGAATGATGTGTCATTACTTAGAACATATCAAGAATAACTTGTAGACAAACCACAGACCCTGGGGGAAAAGGTGGCGAAGTGAACAGGAAACTCCGAGTTTTTCTTATTTGAGGGCCGTTCATGATAGGAATTTCTCAGCCATGCGATGAACTGAGGATCGCGCCTGATAAAGTTGGAACTGAAGGAAGGGGAAACGCTCGGACCAGTAATTCATTTCTGCACCTTTTCTTTTCTATGTCTCTTTCCTTTATGTATTTCTGTACTTATCATTTCTTTTTTAAAAAAAGTTAATAAAAACATTTTGACTGATGTCTTTTAGTGCCCCTAAAGTAGCAAAGAGAACTAAAAATTGCTCATCTTTTTCAGGAATTATGTTCTACATAAGTACATCAAATTCTTCAAGAAGCATCCTCAGAGGGAAATAGTGTGATCTTTAAAATTATGCTTAAAAGACAAGTGTTGGGTTCTCTCAAACCATAATCAACTAGAGCAGTGGTTCTGAACCTTCTCTTCACCATGGACTCCCTTTAAACGCCTTTTGTGGCCATGGCCATGAACCCCCAAGACTTAACTCAAGATGTAAATCTTAACATTTCTTCAGGCATTCACGGATTCCCCCGCCCTCTCGCTGCCCCAAGACAACATCGCACCCAGAGGTGGTATTCAGCAGGTTCTGATCAGTTCTGGAGAACCTGTAGCGGAAATTTTGAGTAGTTCGGAGAACCAGCAAATATCACCTCTGACTGAAGATTTTACAGTATCCTTCCCCTGTCATGCCCACCAAGCCACGCCCATGGAACCGGTAGTAAAAAAATTTGAATCCCACCACTGATCTTACTCCTCCCAGGGGCCTGTGAATCACAGGTTGAGAACTACTGAATTAGAGCTTTTCTATAGAGTTGAGGGACTAAGTCTTATTACCTTCACAAAAGTGTGATGACCCAGGGTGGGATACAAAAGCAAAGGTCACAAAAACAGATGAAGTCCCTTTAATTCCTTCAACTTGGCTTCAAAGGTCCATATATCATTGACTGGAGAAAAAACTCCTCCACAAACAATTGCGAAAAGGAAGAACTTCCGTTCAAACTCAAAATACATATAAATTAGAAACAGAAAAAACAACAACAAAACCACACTGAAGCAATTAAGGAGGCCAGGCAGGATAAGGGCTTGAAGATGTCCACAGAGATCGAAATACACACTGGGAAGGATGCCAGAATTCAGATAAGAATGGACAGACTAGAAATATTTTCATGCTTTGCTTCCAGCACTGGCCCATGAGCAGTTTGTCCTTTTAAACAGTCCACACAGCTGCAGCCCATGAAGGGGATCAAGGCCCTTTCCTCCTCCTTAGATCACGCCATTCACGTTTCTCCCTTATCCACTCCTCCCTGTGTGTCCTAGGATGAAGAGGGGATGGGCCTGGGTCTTCCTCTGAATGCCCAGCCAGACTGTGCTCTTCCCTCTTCTCCACAACCTCCAGAGCTACACTCCCACTCCCTGTTGGCTGTTCCTCCTCTCCCTCGGAGTCAGATTCTAACAGGGGCATGACACTGGTTTTCAGAAAAACAAAGCCCTGTGTAAAATATGAGTGCTCTTTTCTCTTCCATCTTTCTATCCTTCAAGGTAACAACAACTAGACAGCAGGGCAATTTTCAAACTGTTTTGACTCACCGTCCTTTTTTTTTTTTTTTAGTTTATTGAGAACATGTTGAGGTTAGAATAGAGACAGATTTCCTTGCAGTAAAACTGAGAGGGAAGCAAACAATAACAGCATTAAAATGGTGATTAAAAGTGCCACTAATAGCATTAGCACGTAGACTTATATACTGCTTTATAGTGCTTTACAGCCCTCTCTAAGCAGTTTTACAGAGTCAGCCTATTTCCCCCCCAAATCTGGGTCCTCATTTTACCCACCTCGGAAGGATGGAAGGCTGAGTCAACCTTGATCCTGGTGGGATTTGAACTGCCAAATTGCAGGCAGCCGATAGTCAGAAGTGGCCTACAGTATAGCCCTCTAACCACTGCGCCACCAAGGCTCAGATCACTAAGCAGACAAAAGGCAGAAATTACACTAAACACACAGCACATATTAACATCAACTAGCACTACATGTCAGAAGACTGGATGAATAAAAATAATGTTGCCTAATACTGGAATATCAATGGATCTCTAGCAGTGGGAGATAGGACCCACAATCTGAAAGGTGCCAGGTTGAGAGAGAAAGCAGATTCTCATATGCCAGGCAAAACTCACATTTCTTAGACACTGATTTTATTGCTGTGTATCATGATCACATTTGGTAGTTTATCATAGTTTTCCAAAGGCTGATCTTAGGAGAAGAACGAAAAGAAAAATGATCAAAATGATTCAAATGATTGAAACATCTTCTTCTCTAACTACCAATTACTCTAGGCCTGTATGCTGTAGTGGTATTCTACCGGTTCGGCCCGGTGCGAGTGAACTGGTAGTAAAAAAATGCTACCGTTCGGCCGAATCAGTATTTTTTTTCTTTTTTCCTCCCGACGATCAGCTGTTCCGACGATCAGCTGTGCCAAATCCCCCTCACTGTCTTACTGCTTCACCCAAGAGGCTTCCCTGAGGCCCAAGGAGACAAAAAGGGGCACGTGGGGGTGTGCTGTGCGCCCCTCCCATGCTCCATTTTTTGTTTCCTGGGCCCCAGGGAAACCTCAGGGAAGCCTCCTGAGAGCAAAAACAGCCTCCCAGAGGCTTCCCTGAGGCCCAGGAGGCAAAGTAATAGAGCGCAAAGGGGGGGGGGTGCTGCAAAAAAGAAGAAGAAGAAGAAGCCATGCCCACCCAGTCACATGGCCATGCCCACCTAGCCACACCCAGAGAACCGGTAGTAAAAGTATTTGCATCCCACTCCTGCCTGTATGATTGGGTTAATAAACACAGTTAAAAGCTTAAAAGTGTCCAGGCACAAAGCAATGATGGTGATAACGAAAGCATCGGCAAAACTAATGAATGCTTCTAAAGTGCTAAAAGCCCATTAGAGGTAGTCCTCAACTTGCAACCACATTTCAACCCCCAATTTTTTCTTGCTAAGTGAGACACTTGTTAACTGAGTTTTGCCCCATTTTACGACCTGTCTCGCCACAGCTCTTAAATAAATCATTGCAGTTGTTAAGTTAGTAACTAACATGGTTAAGTTAATTTGGCTTCCCCATTGACTTTGCTTGTCAGAAGGTGACCACATGACCCCCAGGACACTGAAACCATATGAGCCATTCAAATTCTGACCATGTGACCACAAGGATGCTGCAACGGTCATACGTGTGAAAAATGGTCATAAGTTACTTTTTTCAATCTCGTAACTTGGAACGATCACTAAATGAACTGTTGTAAGTCAAGGACTATCTGTATTCTGATTCAGACGAAACGGAAAATCTGGTATAACTTACCAGATTTTGTAGAGTAACTGAAGATACTGAAAGTTATGTTTTACCTACCTCTATACAAATTGCTCATTCCAATGTAACGTGCACCTATTAAACACATACTTCTGTATAAGAAAAAAAAAAGAGTAAGTTAGAACTCCCTACCTTTTAAATACAGCCGTATCTTTTTTATTTTACTCTCAAAGTTTTGTTTTTACATTTCGAAATATTGCTGAATGAATCCAAAAAGTGTTCTTTTTGTTCCGTTGTAGGATTCCTATACTATTAAAGCCTGAATGTTCAGTTTGTCTTTTTCCAGTCATAACAATGTAGCAAAAACTTTTAAAGGTGTGAATTCTGCTGGAAAATAAAAGCAATTCTACAATATGTATTATTATTTTCTTCTGTCTTAAGAGCTAGTGGCAGATCTTAATTCTTACAGGATTCAATTCCAAAGTCCTTTTTTTTAAATAAAAGAGTGAGAAAGTTAAACTCAGCAAAGTGAAAGTGTACCTGAACAGACTGATTTGCATTATTAAGTTATAGTTGGTATGTGATAGATACACTCACCCAGCATAACCCATAAATGGGTCATTTTCACTCTTGAAAAGCTATTTAACTGACAGCTGATTTATGCAATTAGCACACTGAAAGCAGTTCCCATTAATGATACATCTTAATTATCTATATAATGTTATTTATGTTCCACATGTAAAGTCCAGTCTGGTAATTAAACATGGAATGTTAAGAGATTGAGGATTGGTGAAGGGTGGGGAGGAGGAGGTAAGGGAATGGGGCTGAAGAGATTTCTTCAAAGAAGAATAAAGAAGAAAAATGTATATTTTTGGAAATTGTAAAAAAAAATCTAACAACAACTATTGGGGCAATTTTTCTTAATGGCTTTGATCATACAGAGACTGGATTGGGGAAGATAGCAATAGCATTTAGATTGTCCAATAGCACTTTATAGCACTCCCTAGGTGATTTATAATGTAACCCTTTATTTGCATATTCTCTCCCCACCCCAAAAAAAATCTAGGTCCTTGTTTTACAAACCTTGAAAGGATGGAAGGTTGAGTCAACCTTGAGCCCCGTCAGGATCGAACTTTAGGCTGTGGGCAGAGTTAGCTTGCAATATTGCACTTCAGTAACCTCCAAATAGTTAAACCTGAAAATGACAAAACATGAAAAACATGAAATTGGTTTCCTATCAGGGGTGGGATTCTACCAGTTCACACTTATTTGCTAGAACTGGTTGATAACATTCTAAGCAGTTCGGAGAACTGGTTGTTAGGAGAAATTACTGGCCTAATCCTGTAAGGGAGGCAGGAAGGTAACATTCTGGTGTTGCTTATAGAAACTGCCTCTCTGTTAATCCTTATTACATTCTTGGCAGGACTAGACTTCCTGTCTCAGGAACTTCTCTGGAGTATTTTTCCCCTCCTTTGCTGGTACTTTGCTTGTGCTGTGTGACCATTCAAAGTTACAATGGCACTGAAAAAAGTGACTTATGACCATTTTTCACACTTACGACTGTTGCAGCCTCCCCACAGTCATGAGAGGCCAGGCAAGGAGATGCGTGCCTCGATGTGAGTGATATTGAGTTGGCCACACCCAGCTAATAACATGACCACCTAAGCCACGCCCACAGAACCAGCTGTTAAAATTTTTGAATCCCATCCCTGGTTCCTGTGTGGATCAGGGAGACAGCTGGCTGGAACCCAGATGTAGAGAAAGGGCAAAATGTCCTGCATTGAGAAAACAGATTAGCCCCCTTGACTGTTTTTTCTTTTAAAAAATGCATGTTTTCCTTGTTTATTATCCTTCCTTCAAATTTTTGCTTCCCAGAAGAACAAGGTTATTTGTTTATGGTGTGAATGGGATCCTCTAGTGTTCACATAACACAAACTCATACAAGCTTAAAGAGACAATTTTCAGAAGACTAGTAGAGCACATTCATGAACTAGCAGTCTGAAGTTGTGATGAAAAATCCTTAATCTTAGAACAGTTGAACAGTCTCAAACAAACACAGTTTCAACTGGGAAAACGTGAGCATCCTAGGCCAGCCTAAATCCAAAAACACTAGGGAATTCCTTGGAAGCTTGGCATCCAGGTATCAAATAGTCACATAAACCACATTTACGCACCATTCAAAAGAGATGATAAAAATAGCTAACAAGGAGACAAAAATAGACCATAACGCATCCGCTCCAGCAACCAACACCCAGATAAATCAGGATTAACAGCAAGCAAGCAAGCAAGCAGAAAACAATGTCCTAACCAGGAAGAAGAAGAAGAAAATAACATCCCCACCAGCACAGGCAGGGTGAGCTACTGATTATAAACGGGGGAAAACACCACACTAGTAGCACTGATAATGTTACCTAGTTGGGTAAAGAAATGTCTGCAAGCAAACAACCAAACTCAGAGAAGACTTTAGAAGAATCAGTAGCAGAGGTGGTATTCAGCAGGTTCTGACCAATTCTGGGGAACTGGTAACGGAAATTCTGAGCAGTTTGGAGAACCAGCAAATACCACTTCTGACTGGCCCTTCCCCCATCTCTGCCTCCCGAGTCCCAGCTGATTGGCTGGGTCTTCTTTTGTTGCCCTGCACAGGAGAACGGAGCTGGAAAGCAGGTTAGTGGGGTGGGGAAGGAATTGGGATTTGGCAGTAAACTTCCTCTGCCACACCCACCAAGCCCCACCCACAGAACCGAGAGTAAAATTGTTTGAATCCTACTACTGGTCAGTACAGCCCGGGTATTGAAGGGGTGATACATTTATGTCCCAGATCTTGATACGGTTGACAGTAAAGAAGCAGGTGAGCGGTTGTTGGTTTTTGACATTCAAAATAAGGGGATTTCTGGAAACTCCCTTCTAGCACCGCAGTTTGCAGGGCAGCCTATGCAGCATTCTCAATCAGGCAGCAAAAGTCTTTTAGCTAGTTATATATGTGCTGACAGTGTGCAGATATGAAGATGAATGTATGGAAGTCAGGGAATTAGAAGTAACAAATGAAATCCTACTTTCCCACTGTTGTATTAATCAAAATATTTAAATGGGCTTCTGGTTGGCTTTCATAACTAACTTGCCTTAATAAACAGAGCACAATTGGTTTAGATTTTTTTTTAAAAGGAAAAAAAAAGATTAAAATAGCTTCAACTCAAGCACCTTCTGTAATATTTGCTACCTGGATGGGTTTATAGGAGCAGGCAGTGGGGAGGATGAGATATAAAAGGGGAGTAGTGCTTTGAAAGCTGTGCGTGTATTGTATAAATATGTATTTGTATATATGTGTATATTGTGTTTCTGAGAATGCACATGCACACAAACATATACCCATGTTTCCATGAAAATAACACCAGGTCTTATTTTCTTTTGGGCCCCAAAATAAGCACTAGGGCTTATTTTCGGGAGGTGTCTTATTTTTCCCCCATGGATGGGTGGCCCACTTCTTCTGCTTGCTCATGGTGGAGCAGGAGTCTGAGCGGTGTGATGGTGCCACTGCAGCAAGATGGTTGGGTGGCTCCTGAGGCCAGGTCACCCACACCCCAATACCTGCCTCACTTCGCAGAGGTGGCTCCAACAGTCCTGCAGGTCCCCATGTAGCCACCAGCCCACTTCTGCTTGCTCCTGAACGCAAAGGAGCAGGAGGCAGAGCAACATGCTGGTGCTGTGGCTACAAGGTGAGGTGGAGGGGGATGGAGCTGCCTCACGCACCTGCACCAGCTTACCTCAGGGTCTCCACAGCTAGGCCATCCATCCCCCGACACCTGCTTTATGGTACCAGCACACCACTCGGCCTCCTGCTGCATTGTGGCCACAAGCAAGCAGAAGTGGGCTGGCATGCATATGGGTTCCTGCTGCACATGGTTGCTGGTGCTGCTCCCATGAAGCAGATGTCATGGCATGGCTGCAGGGGCCCTGAGGTAAGCCAGTGCAGGTGCAGGGGGCAGCTCCACCCTCACCTTGTCTTGTAGCTGAGGCACCATGAATAACCAGACGGAATGGGCAGGCGGCCAGTTGTGCAGGCTCTTAAATAGGGCTTATTTGGGGGGGTAAGGCTTATATGATGTGCACATGGAAATATGCTAGGTCTTATTTTCAGGATACGTCTTATTTTCAGAAAAGAGAGTACATGTACATACATGCATACATATCTATCTACCCTGTTTTTCCAAAAATACAGCCTCCCCAATAGGAAGTCCCAGCATGTTTTATAGGCATGAAATGAAATTAAGCCCCTCCCCCCAAATTAAGGCCTATATTAAAACATGCGAAATGGGGGGGGAATGGGGGGGGCTTGCCGTTAGGAAGTACTTTTGTTGCACACCCAGATATGGTGCTGCCTGCGTTGACCCCGATACGAAGTGCCCCACCAACGCCGAGGTCAACATCCAAACCGTCGCCGCCCACCCGAAGATGCAAGGGAGGGAATTAAGTCACCCCCCAAAAGACGGCCTAGCCATTTTTGGGGGGGCTCAAAAAAACATAAGACCCAGCCTTATTATATGAGAAACACGGTATAAGCTATAGGATCAAGATGTTCTGCTTCTTATTGAGAGGCAGATTATACTTTGGGGAGAAGAAGGTATGTATGTATGTATTTGATTTGTGTGCTTCCCCCTTGTCTCTGCTTGCACCATTAGGATTGCATTAGGATGCATTCATTAACCGAGATTTTAATGAGATCCAAACACAATATTTAAAAGCATTGCCAATCTCTTCCCCTTCAAACCAGAGCAAGGCCAGCATATTATTTTGCTGCAAAAACAATGGAACCTCTCATTATCCCAGATTTGCCCTTTAGTCCTCTCCATTAACTCACCTAGGGAAGCTTTTCCTTCAGAAGTATTTAATGAGAAGCCTTTTTAGTTTCTCTTTTTTTAAAAAAAATCATCATGGCCAATCACCGAGCTACACATAGTCCTCAGCTTACAACCATTTGTTTAGTGACCATTTGAAGCCCCAACAGCACTGAATAAAGTGACTAATGTCTGTTTTTCACCCTTCAGACTGTTGCGGCATCCCCAAGGTCACATGATCAAAATTCAGACGCCTGTCAACTGGTTCATATTTATGATGGTTTCAGTGCCCCAGGGTTACATGATCCCCTCTTGTGACCTTCTGAAAAGCAAAATCAATGGGGAAGACAGGTTCGCTTAATAACTGTGTTACTAGCTTAACAACTGGAGTGGTTCACTTAACAACGGTGGCAAGAAAGATCATAAAACGGGGCAAAACTCACTTATGTCTCACTTAGCGTTATCAATTTTGGGCTCAGTTGTGGTCGTAAGTCAAGGACTACCTGTAACATGGATTATGTTGTGGTTAGCCGGCAGCATGTGTGGATGGCTGAGGAGAGCGAGGACTCAGATGAGGGGCCAGGACCATTAGGGAGTGGACTGCTGCCTTCAGAGATTGTGGGGGGCTGGCAGCAGTGATGAGGAGGTTCCCGAGGAACCTATACCAAATGCGCATGCATGCAGGGTTGCTCGCAGGAAAGAACAGCTACAACAGCACAGGCGACTCGGGGGTAAGGCTGCAAGGTAATGGCCCTTCCTTCAAAAAGATAAAAGCCAGCTGCGAAGCGAACATTCTTTGTAGGAAGCAAAGACGTTTTGAAACTCAGCCTTGTGGACATTACAGTTGGTATTTGAAGACTCTTGTGTTGTAAACTATTTCTTATCTGTTGTTTTTTGGAAGCCTTGCAAAAACTTGGCAAGGCTCTTTCTTGTCGGAGCTAATTAGTTGGAAGCAGCCTTTTATCTGTGAAGAAGCAGAATTCATAGATGAAACATTAAAAGGTTGTGCAGCTGCCTTTGTCTTGTGTTTGCTTTCTTGGAAACAGGCTTGGGCCAGAACAGATTAGAAATCAAAACAGGAGAGGGAGCTTTTAACAGAAATTGCATTATAGGTTTACTGTAACCCTCTTGGGTGTTTGGACTGAGGAGATAATTTCATGGAATTCAAAACTGGTTTTGGAGATCTGGGCCTAGAGAATTGGCGATGGGGGGCGGGGACAAGAACCTTTAATAATAGGGAGAGACTGGAGGAAGGGGGTGGGAAGATTGAAGAAGGATTCTATCTATCAGATGGAATGGAGTCAGAATTAGGAATAGTAGGAAGGAGTGGCATTCAAAAGAGTTTGGGCAGTAGGGGAGTGGCTGATTTGTATACATACATGCAGGGGTGGGATTCTACCAGTTCGCACTTATTCGTTAGAACCGGTTGTTAACATTCTAAGCAGTTCAGAGAACCGGTTGTTAGAAGAAATTACTGGCCTAATCCTGTAAGGAAGGCAGGAAGGAAACATTCTGGTGTTGCTTACAGAAACTGCCTCTCTGTTAACCCTCATTACATTCTTAGCAGGACTAGACTTCTTGTCTCAGGAACGTCTCTGGAGTTGTTTTCCCCTCTTTTGCTGGTACTTTGCTTGTGTGGAGTGACCATTCAAAGTTACAATGGCACTGAAAAAAGTGACTTATGACCGTTTTTCACACTTACGACTGTTGCAGCCTCCCCACAGTCATGAGAGGCCAGGCAAGGAGATGCGTGCCTCGATGTGAGTGATATTGAGTTGGCCACGCCCAGCCCGTAACATGATCACCAATCCACGTCCACCCAGTCACATGACCCCAAGCCACGCCCACCACCTAAGCCACACCCACAGAACCAGTTGTTAAAAATTTTGAATCCCACCCCTGCATACATGTATGAGAGGGAGGAGAGCCCAGGGGCAGGGGAACAAGATAGCTTGACAAATGGTGTCATATCAAAGAAAAGGAAGAAACAAACGGCCTAAAAAGAGCAATATAAAGAGATATGGGGAAAAGGAACAAAGTTGACTTGTTTCTTTTCTCTTGTTGAAAAAGAGAAAAGGGCTATCCTGCCTCTAAGATCCCTTCCTCTCCCCTTTTATTTTTTAAAAAAACAATTTTAAAGTAGGAAATAGGCCGGAATGAAGTTTGTTTTATTTTCACGGAAGGTTCCTGCAACGAAGAACAGTCCTTAAAAGAGTATGACCTCCTAGTCCACAAGAAGTTTCATGCATGCAGACAAAGAAACAAGCTAAGAAAACAAAGGTTTTAGTTTTTACATCATGATGTCGTGCCTCTCCCATGAAGAATAAATAATATCCAACTCGCCTTATGACAGAAAGTGCATTCCACTAGGGAAATAAAGAAAGGCTTGCAAAGTTATGCGCCTGCAAACAACACGGACCCGACATGACCAGTGGTCACAAGGATAAAAGGTTGTGACTCACCGATTCACCCCAATAGCCACAAAAGTTGGGCACCGTGACTGACATTTTGGTGAGTGACTAGAATAAACCACCAAAGATAACAGCACGAGGTTGCTGAGTAGTATAAATAAAATGTAAGTTTTGAGCAAGGCAACCTATGGACTAGGAAAAGATCTGGATGGGAATAGATGGGATTTTATCTTCTCTCCTTGTATGAATATGGGAGGAAAAAGAATTGTCCATCGTATGATAAACTGCATTAACTTCTCTTTTGTGGAAAGAAAGGGCCACTAATAGCTTGGGATGTAAAGAAGTTTTCTCTGACTTGATGCTTTCCAGAAGGTTTGGCATTTAGCTCTTATAATTCCTAAGCATCTTTCACTGCTATCTTTCACTCTTCTGGATGGAGATTATGAGTATGGTTGAAACTAGTTAAGGTGGGGAGCAGAGTATCTCCTTTTATGGGGAACAAATACAGTACAAACACAGGTAGTGCGAAGAATAATTCTTGAATTTCCTCATGCAAGCCTTATGATATTCCCTTACGTTTGCAAATACACACCATAAATCTTAAACTTTATTGCACAGAATACAGGAAACAGTCTGTTCTGAAAAAAAAATCTACAGCCTCAAGAAACAGTTCAGAATACAGACAAGTAGAATCAAGCATCTTGATTCTTAATACATGAAAGCATCATGGGTTTCAAATAAGCAAAAAAAGAAAAAACACACCTCTTTTGTTGTAAGTTGTAAGTTGTAAGTATATGACCGATATGGATTCTAGAGCACTGCACATCAGAACAACTAGACACAAGAACAGTTTTCCCCAGAACGCCATCACTCTGCTAAACAATTCTTTTAATACTGTTCAACTATTTACAAAGTCTGCACTACTATTACTATTCATCTTCTCATCACTCCTTATCACCCATCCCCTTCCACTGGTGACTGTATGACTGCAACTTTGTTGCTTGTATCCTTAAGATTTATACTGATTGTTTCCTAGTATGATTTGATTGCTTATTGTACCCTACAACTATTATTAAGTGTTGTACCTTATGATTCTTGACTCTTGATGAATGTATCTTTTCTTTTATGTACACTGAGAGCATTTGCACCAAGACAAATTTCTTGTGTAGCCAATCACATTTGGCCAATAAAGAATTCTATTCTATTCTATTCTATTCTATTCTATTCTATTCTATTCTATTCTATTCTATTCTATTCTAT